GAGGACCCACGGGGATCTGCAGGTCGGGAGGGGGGGGCCCTGGCTGGGGGTGGGGGTGGGTTGTGTTGTCCTCTGTCCTGGCTTCGTCTTACCTCTGGGCCCCATCCTTGAGCCGCCGACCGTCGTGGCGCACCTGGTGCGGCAGCACGGGGACCGCTTCGGGCTCGAGGGGGACGGCGCCAGCAGGGTGCTACACAGCCGCGCGGAGGGGCGCTCGTGGAGGCTGGCCGACTTCGAGGCCAGCCCCCTGCTACTCGCCGCGCAGCTCGTGCAGGAGGACGTGTGCCTCATGCGCGAAGTCCGCGCCGAGGTCCAGGGAGAAGCCGCGGCGTGAGCACAGATTTTCGAAGGTTGACAGGACCCTTCAGAGCCCGCTGGGTGGCTGAGGCGGCCGAGCACTGGTTCTGGCCAGCAGAGGAAGGAGAAAGGGGCCCCCTCCTTGCCATGGCTTGAAGTCGAGCGTGTCCCTCTACAGGAGGGAAATTCTAAAATAGTCGAAAAATAGTATGGGGACGATCTTTCGACAAGTGTTTGACAATTCTGGTGTATTTGTGTTACCATTTTTCATCTGTCGCCCAAAATCCGCTTGGGGGGACATGCCCGACCTAACCACAGCTGGACGCGCCTCGAAAAACGTGTTTGGGGACCGATTTTGAGCTGATTTGCCCTTGCCCCCCCCCCCCTCTTGATCGATGTTGTTCGGGGCCCGTCCAGTGCAGACCCCTGGCCGCTTCCAAGGAACGCCCACCCTGCCGCGTCGATTGTCCCACTGCCCTCTCCTCGCTTCTCCAGGGACGATTGTGGCCGCAGAGTGCCGTGGGCCCCGCGCCCGCAGGGTCCCAAACCGTTTTCACGGAAGGGTGCTTTGCTGGTACGGGTCCTCCTCCTCCTCCTCCTCCTCCTCCTCCTCCTCCTCCTCCTCCCTCCCCTCCTCTCCTCCTCCCTCCTCCTCCTCCTCCTCTCCTCCTCCTCTCTCCTCCTCCTCCTCCTCCTCCTCCTGCTCCTCCTCCTCCTCCTCCTCCTCCTCCTCCCTCCTCCTCCTCTCTCTTCCTCCTCTTCCTCCTCTTTCCTTCTCCTCCCCTCCTCCTCCCCTTCCTCCTTCTCCTCCTCCTCGCCTCCTCCTCCTCCTCCTCTCCTCTCCTCCTCCTATCCTCCTCCTCCTCCTCCTCCTCCTCCTCCTCCTCCGTCTTCATGTTCTGCACCACCCTTCGGTGCCTGAGGCCGCCTGCACGCCGCTCACTGGCCGACTCGCGGCGCCTTGGACCCCTCCCGCCTCCTCCTCCGCCGCCGCGCTCTTCTTTTCCCCCCGCTCTCGCGGCCCGTTCCTGGCACGCCCTGCCGCCCCAGCGACACCCGCGCCCGCGCCCGCTGGCGCTGCCAAGTTCCCCACTCGGTGCTTGCACTGCAGGGGTCCCAGCGGAAAGCGAAAGATTTGGCGAAAGTTCCCCGCCGATTTTGGTAGCGGGCGAGGTTCCCAGTTCCCGGTTCCGGGTTCCCGGGTTCTTGGTTATTGGTTCCGGGCCGATTTCGGTGGGTTCCGGGTTCCCGTGTTCCCGGTCGATCTCTTTGATCGAAAACCATCCATTGATTGGGGTTTTTCTCTGGTGTAATACGCATAGGTTCTGCTAGGAGGGGTCCTGGCTACCTCCGAACATTTTTGTCTGAGGTTCGCGCGGGTCTCTTGAACGGCGCTGGACCCCCCCGGGGCCCTCGGCGCGCTCCGCGCAACAGGGAGGGTCCAGCGTTGATCCCAGAGGTGCGCGCGGAGCTCCAAAAGCTTGTGATGGTCCTCCCTCTTCTGGAGGGTTTCTCCGAAGGGCTCAGGCGACCCGTCCTCCTCCTCCTCCTCCTCCTCCTCCTTCTTCTCCTCATCGGGTCGCCTACGGCCCTGGGGGAAACCGTGCACCCTCTTCCTAGGGTGGAGACGGTACCCGCCACGTCTTCACGTCCGGGTTCGTGATGGAGTCGTTCGATCCGACCTCGAAGCAGGGCTTGCCCATGCTGCAACTGCACGACCCAGTGCCGCAGTACGCCCCAGACCTGGGCGCGAGCATGGAGCGCGTGTTCTCGACGCTGAAGAGGCCGCTGTGGCGTGCGAACTTCTCCTTCTACGAGTGGAGCTACGAAGACGACGAAGGAGGCGCCGCCGCTGCTGTGGGCATCGGGGAAAGGATCTACGTCAAGGTAGAGTACGAGACGCTGCTGCGTCTGCCCGAGCACCCCGACCACCTTGTTTTCACCATCCGTGCGCACATGGACTCGCTCGACGATTTCGCCGCGGCGCCCCGCGCGTGCGCGGCACTAGCAGGGCAGATCAGGGCGATGCCAGATGCGCTGCTGGAGTACAAGGGCCTCGACAGCAGCGACAAGCAAAGCGCCGTGCTCGCCTTCCTGGACGCTGCGGCCGCGCCACTAGCTCACAAGGCTGACAGGTGAGGAACTGGCTAAGGGCCTCCGCCCTTGTTGGGCGGTTGCCTGAAGCTGGGCACCAGAGGTGGAGGACAATCCCCCTCATCTTGCTCGTCCTTCTGCGCCATTCCATTCTTATACTTCTCCTCCTCCTCCTCCTCCTCCTTATCCCCCTCCCCTTCGTTGGATGTCATCTCTACGGTCGTCTCCTCCTCATCCTCCTCCTCCTCCTCCTCCTCCTCCACCGCAGTGGCCTCCTCCTCTCCCTCCTGCTCCTCCTCCTCCTCCTCCTCCTCCTCCTCTCCTCCTCCTCCTCCTCCTCCTCTCCTCCTCCTCCCCACTCCTCCTCCCTCCTCCTCCTCCTCCTCCTCCTCCTCCTCCCTCCTCCTCCTCCTCCTCCTCCTCCTCCTCCTCTCCTTTTCCTCCTCCTCCTCCTCCTCCTCTCCTCCTCCTCCTCCTCCTCCTCCTCCCTCCTCCTCCTCCTCCTCCTCCTCCTCCTCCCCCCCTCCTCTCACTCATCCGCTCCCTCCTCCTCTTGTTCCTCCACCCCCTCGTTCTCCTCCCTCCTCCCCCGGTCTACTGAGGCCTCCTCCCTAGGGCACCGAGGGCATCTGGAGACGTGTCGTGTCAGCGGCGGCACCGCCGAGACTGGGGTCCAGGTCGAGGCTTCGCCCGTGCAGCGCCTCGCTGGCCAGCCCTTTTCCGTTTGCCCCTCTGGCGGAGCGGTCCCCTTTTCTGGCTTCTTCCGCGCTTGCACCTCCTCCCGCCGCTTTCCCCTCTCCCCAGAGGACGGGCGCATGGAGAAGGAGGTGGAGGAGGCCACTGCGGTGGAGGAGGTGGAGGAAGAGGAGGAGGAGTATGAGGAGGCCAGCGACGGCGACGGCGAAACATGACGACGACGACGACGACGACGCCGACGACGACGACAACGACGACGACGACGACGACGACGACGACGACGACGACGACGACGACGACGACGACGACGACGACGACGACGACGGCGGCGGCGGCGGCGGCGGCGGCGGCGGCGGCGGATGCGGCGTGCGATGGCCGCCCCGCAATCAGTGTGGCTTCGGTTGGCGGTCCTGCGAAGGCTGAAAAGTTGGCAGCACAAGCAGGTAAGCCTGAGCAAGATCCAAAGCCAAAGAAGGTGGCGGAGAAGCCAGCGGCAAAGCCAGAGGCAGAACCAGAACTGCCCAAACCACTGGGCTGCTTGCAGGCGTTGCCAGAGACCGCCAGGGAGACCGACACGGCGACCGCGCTGACCGAGCCGGTCTATTTTGTGGACACGTACATGTTCGAGCTTGCTGGTTGCAAGCTTCTGGAGGCGGTAGTAGCGCCAGAAGCACCCAAGGGTGCACCAGAGGGGCACGTCAAGCTGCAGATCGTGCTGGACCGCACTGTGTTCCATCCGCAGGGCGGTGGCCAGCCCACCGACGTGGGCGAGCTTTCTGCCCCAAGCCTGCCAACCCTGAGGGTATCTTTCGTCTCGATGCGGAGAGAGGACGGCGGCATCCTCCACGACTGCGTCGTGGCTCAGGCAGACGCAGATGCGTGGATCGGGGCCTCAAAAGCAGACGGCAGCGATCCTCAGATCTTGTGCAGGGTCGACGCCCAGACGCGCAGGACCAACGCGAGAGTCCACTCTGCGGGCCACCTCCTGGACGTGGCAGTGCAGAGCCTGGACCTCAAATGGACACCCGGGAAAGGCTACCATTTCGCAGACGGCCCATACGTCGAGTACGTGTTGGGCGCAGACTCTAGGAAGGTCGATCCGAAGAAGCCGGGCGACAAGGAGAAGCTCACCGCCGACCTGCAGGCCGCCATCGACGAGCTCGTGAGAGCCGGTGGCGCGGTGACGATCGCTCAGAAGGCGGGCGTGAGGACCGTAGCGATCGGTGGCCTGGAGTGCCCGTGCGGAGGCACTCACGTCAGGGACTCCAGCGAGCTCGGCAAAGTCATAGTCAAGAAGCTGAAGGCCAAGAAGGGCAACATGCGCTTGTCCTACAGCGTGCAGTAGAAGATATGGCCCGACCACCACGCGTAGTTCTGTCTGGTTCCTCTCTGGCCGTCAATTCCAGGAGACTTTCCGATCAGAAGTGGCCCGCCGCCCATTGTCGGCCACGCGCAGAGGGGGGTAGTGGGAGGGGGGAAAGCTTCTTAGAAGCATCCCTGCTTCTTAGAAGGCGCGGGCCATGTCTGTAGATGCAGGGCCGGCGCCTTCTAAGAAGCAGCCTTCTTCTAAGAAGTTTTCCCCCCTCCCCCTACCCCCCTGTGCGAGTCGCCAACATTGGAGGAGGAGGGAGGGAGGGAGGGAGGAAGAACAGGGGGCATCGAAGAACCGATTCTTGGCACCCTGGCAGCTCGCCAACGGCATCGCGCACACAACAGGCACGAGCGCAAAACTCGAAGCTCGGTGTCATCATGAGGGGGGCCACAGGAGGAGTTCAAAGCGCACCACTGTGTTCTACTTGGCGCTGGTGATTGGACCTGCACGCAGCGCCGACAAACTAGCCTCCAGAAGGGGCGCCCAACGCATTGTCAATGCATGATCACCCGCAGTAGCTGTACGAAGCGCGGGAGCCGCATGGAAAGATGCCCGCACATCCCCTAAACCTATGTTGTCGGACAGAGGCGGGTCGCATCGGCACGCCGTCCGAATGCACGTACACGTGAAAGTTCGCATGCACAGCGGTGCTCATCCCACTATGCGCACGGTGGCGCATACGTCCATGTGGAAGACCGTGGCTTCGCACGCACATAACCGTTGCCAGTGTGCATTGCATCCGCCCATGTGTCCGCCCGTTTCTCTCGTCGCGCCATCATACAGAGCGTGCTATCCTGCGCGTACAACTTGACGAGGTGCTCTTGAGCAAGCTCGCCCGCTTGACCGCCCACATGGACATGATCCGCGCCTTCTGGAACGGCGAGCGCGGAGCCATCACGGAGGTCACTGGGGGGCGGAGGGAGGCAGGGACCGAGCGAAGAGAAGGAGGCGGCGGGCACGGAAGGTTGTGGGGCGAATGCCGCGTTGGAGGATGAGGAGGGGGAGGACGGGGAGGGCGGGGAGTGGGGGGAGGAAAAAGAAAGCAGGACGAGAGAAGCCATGGAAAGGAGATGGTGACATATATATATATATATCGAGTGTATAGAGAGGGGGGTGGGGGTGTAAATGAGGGGACAGCGAGAACTAGAGAGAGAGAGAATGAGAGAGAGACAGACAAAAGAGGGGGTAGTAACCAGGGGTAGGAAGGCGAAGGGACGGAGGAGGGCAAAGGTAAGGAGAAGGGGAAACCGACGGACAGAAGGAGGAAGATGCGCAAGGACGGAAGGATGGAGGGGCAGAGATGGGGAAGGAAAGAAGGAGGGGCGAGGAGGAGAATGAGGGAGGAGGAGGAGGAGGAGGTGGCATAAGAAGAAGGGCAGCTCGGGGTGAGGGGCAGAAGAACAATAATGAGCAAGAGCAGTCGCAAGAGCGGCAGGAGGAGAGAAAAGGCAAAGGACGGAGCTTCAGCCACAGCGCACGCGCAGGCCGAAGAGCAGGAGAACGCGCTGGCCGCGCGGCTGGAGAACCTGTGCCTGCGCAGCGGCTTCGAAGCGACCGTGGTGCACCCGATCCTGAAGGAGTTCAGCGAGGCCTGCCCCAGAGAGGGCGCGCAGGCGGAGATCAGAGGAGGTCGAGTTGAGACAACGGTAGTCCGCCTTCGGGGGGGCCCTCGTCGCCACGGTTGGGCGCTGCTCGGAAAATTGGTACGCCTCCGGGAAACCGATCTGGAGCCGATGTTGTCTCAATTCGCCCTGCTCCGAGGAGAGTCGCTGGCGGAGGGAGGGCTGATGGGCCAGTTTTCCATCACCACTACCATAGGTAGGACGGGGGAGAAGGGAGGATGAGGAGGTCCTCCGCCTCCGCCTCCTCCTCCTCCTCCTCCTCTTCCTCCTCCTCCTCCTCCCCCTCCTCCTCCTCCGCCTCCTCCTCCTCCTCCTCCTCCTCCTCCCTCCCCTACCTATGGTAGTGGTGGTGGGAAGTCGGCCCATCAAGGGCGCGGGACCGAGGAAGGAGGAGGGCAGAGAGACGTCGGTCTGGGAAGAGCGCACCTGGCACGTGATGCTGGAGGGCAGGGGGGCGGAAGCGCGCCCCCCCTGCATGCAATCACGTCTCGAGCTCCCAGCTCAAAATGGGGCGGGACCCTCGTGGTGCCGAGGCGTCTCGACCTTTTGTCTCGTCTTCGGCATGCGGGCGGTTCGCCTGCAAGTGTTCCAGTGGGGCCATGGATGTTTCCCCAATCAGTGCTTGAACTGAAGGGGTCCGAGCGGAAATTGGAAGATTTGGCGAAAGTGTCCCACCGATTTTGGTGGCCGGCTGGGTTCCCAGGTTCCCGGTTCTGGGTTCCCGGTTCTTGGTTATTGGTTCCCGGCCGATTTCGGTGGGTTCTGGGTTCCCGGGTTCCCAGTCGATGTCCTTATCGATCTCTAAATCGATCCCATTTCAAACCATCCGTTGATTGGGGGGGGGTTCTTTGGTGAAATGTATTGTTCCGATGGATCGCGTGTTCGGTTTGTTGGTTGTGGGAACTATCTTCGGGTTCGGATGCACCTTCACCAAGGGCGTGCATAGGAGACGTTCCTAGGCTTCGCCACTGCATGTGTCCTGGCATTGACTGTTCTTTTGGTGGGCGAAACAGGGGGATCCAGCCCCGCCCACCAGCTGAGTTCAGCGCAGCAAGGTCTGCCTGTTCAAGACAGTTGCGGCCGCTTTAACGCGCCCTAGGGATTTCGTTCCGCCCAGGATTTCCCTGTCCCAAATGAGGCGGTGGAGGAGGGGAAGCAATTGAAAGAGGAGGAGGAGGAGGAAGAAGAAGAAGAAGAAGTAAACGAAGGAAGGCGGAGGAAGCAGAACGACGAGGAAGGATGAGTGCTGGAGCTCATTTGCCTGAGCTGAACTTGGAGTTTCTTGTCGACCGCTCCTCTGCATGTATCCCGCCCTTTCCCGCGGCCGCCAGCAGACATGAAGGAAGGGGAAGGTCGATGAGGAGAAATTGTAGAGGGAGAGGTTGGAGGTACGGTCGGGAACTTCTGGCTTGCGTGTCGTTCCCCTGGCTCTGGCCCATGACGCTCTGGCGCGACGCGCCCTCCACTTTCGGGCCCCCAGGCCTCAACGTCCCGAGCCTCTCCGAGCCTCCCGCCCCGCGGAGCGGAGCGATGGCAAAAGCTCCCGACCGTAGGAAGGCGGGACTCGTGCACATGCTACCCTCGGTGTCCTTCCCCGCTGTCGCAGCGAGCGATCCCTCAGCCTGCCTTTTGGGGAGGCAGCCTGTGCGGCCTGCGGGGGCCACGAGCAGATCGACGACGACCACATCGACACCATGGTCAACGCTGTCGTGGCCAGCGGGGCCGAAATAGGGATCGGCGAAGAGCCAAAAACGGCACCGACATCATGTGTCAGAGGTCCGCGCGAATTTTTGGGAGCGCCAGCGCCGATCCAAAAAATCCGCGCGGACCTCGGAGAAATGATGGTTATGCCGTTGCTTGTTCCTCGAGATCGGCAGCGCCAAGTCTCACAGTTGGCTATGATCCTTGGAACCCCTGGATTGGAGGATGGCGTGGTTCGTCTCGTGAGTTTGTGGAGCACAGGCCGGATCGAGAAGGAGAAAACCCTCCCCGTCCTTCCTCCCCGTAGCAGAGTTAGTGTTTGTTCCAGTCGTCTTCGCCGTCGGAAATACCGAGGCAAGAAGGAAACGCCTCCCAGCAAACGACAGAAACGAGACTCTGCACATGGCGCTTAAGGGGGACCTACGATGCGTTTTTGGAGGGCCATGTTCACTCCCGACGACGATGGTGATGACGTTGTCTTGTGCATTGTACAGGGAGCCCTTCACATGCTCCGCCTCGTCTTCAATTACGAAGGATTTAGGATGGGCTCTCGGTCGGCGAACATGCGAGGATGCCAGGAATGTGTGAAATTGTTCCTTGAGCGAACCAACGAAAGGTCGCCTAGAAAATTGGTCGATCGATTGTTTTGAAGCATCAAGAGAACAATAGCGCGACACATGTTACTGGTACGTGCCAACCGATGGAAAGAGCGGTGGATGATTTGTATTGCAATCACACCGATCGGGCGCACAAATAATTTGCATTACAGCGGTCATGCAAGTTGCGTGCTGCTTGTCCTGGTACATCACGCTGGGCAGAGGGTCCCCAGTCAAAATGTGGTGCTGACAATCTCCCTCGAGGCACCCGCCCCAGCCCGGGCGCGCGCGCGAGGGACCAGCCAAGGGATGCTCCAGCCCAAATGTGGTTGCCTCGGCTCTCGGTCAGGGAGCAAGCATGTCCTGCCAAAGTGCGTTGAAGCATCCCCTCTAGAGTGGAGCATATGATGAAGAAGCCTCCTCCCGAAAAGCTGGGCCAGCGTTTCTTGTTCGGCTTGCCGGAAAGATGGCCCAGATTCTTGACCAAGTTCGCCCTCCAGCGTTGCACGCAGACATTGGCCCAAGTCTGTTGCAAGAAATTGTGTGGAAGCTCGTCCAATCTCAGACCACCCACGTCGTGATTTGTTCACAACGTCGGCCACCAGAGGTCTCGACCCCTTCCCCGGGACCGGTTTTTCATCCTGAGTCGTTTCTTGACGATTTCGAGACCCAATCAGGGCCCCTGGAGGCCGAAAATGACTACAAACCTCCCGTCGTTAGTTTGTTCACAACGCGAGGGGGCCTGGTGGATCTTCTCAGATGATCAATTCCTTAACCATGTTTTCGGCTGTCTGTCACCTTCTCGCCTCTCACCCCCTCCCCATCTGGTCATCGTGGTGGTCGTCCGCGGTCGTCGTCGTCGTCGTCGGCGGCGGCGGCGGCGTTGTCGTCGTCGTTGTCGTCGTCGTCGTATCCCTCTCGCCTCTCACCCTTTCCCCCTCCGCTCCCCGTCCGCCGCCCTCGCCGCTTCCCCGGCCCTGGCCCACAAGTGGGTCCGCCGATCTCTTCTTCGGGGGGGAGACCGCCCACGGATGCGACGGTGCCATCGCTGTCTTCTGGCAGACCTCCCAGCCCGGAAATGCCCTGCCCAAAAGGCACAAACACAACGCGTTGGGAAGATGGGGTTGGAGGGATGGGGTTGGGAGCAATGAGGATATCATTATCAGTAGGCGGCCAAAGGTATCGTCCACTGCATCCAGAGGCTATTGCTCATACCCTTCTTCCTCCCAACCCCTTCCTCCCAACACGGTTAAGTGATCATACCATTATTCCTCCCAACCTTTTTTCCTCCCAGCACGGTTATTATTCGCCTCAAACAGTGGCGCGGCTTTCTATTCAATCTCCCACTCCCTTTCCCTTGTCCCACTCTACCTCTTCCCACGTTTCCCTCCCCCTCCCCCTCCTCGCTTGCCCCCCCCTCCCTCCCCCGGCTACTCTTACACCTTTCCCTCCCCGATTCCCCTTCACAACTACTCAATTTGGAGACTTGCCTCTTTGCCATGACTCGTCCTCTCCGTGCACAGACTTTCAAAATTGTGATGCGTTATATGGCTCGTTCGAGTCATTGACCTGTTCAATCAGAACTTCAAAATGGAACTCCCGCTGCTGCGTGCGCCTCATTT